AGCTGCCACCTGCCGGCGGCGCAGCGACGACGACGTCTCGCTGCAGCGTCGATGTCTGCGCCGACGCGTCCGTGACGGCGACGCTGAACGTGTATGCGTCGCCGGCTGCGAGCACGCCCGCACGTACGGTGAGCGTGTCGGCAGTGCGACCGCCATCCGTGTCGACGTCCCACGATAGCGTCTGCACGCTGCTGCCGACGTGAGGTGTAAAGCTCCAGACGTAGGAGACACCTATCGGGCAGGCATCTTCGCAGCGCACCTTATACGAGTGGTTCGTATAGACGATATAAATAAATAAATGAATAAATTATATATACCTATGGTATAATACGTATAATATGTATACCTATAGGTATATATAATTTATTCGTGGGCTAGGCAACATAACAAACTGACAAAGGCGATATCTGGCGAACTACTGGTAGGCGGGTACATAGCGATGTATTAATAAATATATAGATAGATAGAATGTAAATTATGATTTAATTAACTGATTTATTCCAAAATACCAGTTTTGCGGCCATGGGGCCTTGATCACAGTTCACGCACACTGAAGTGATTCTATTACACTTAAAAACGCTTACACAGCCAATGGAGTAAATATCTGTTCAAAATTGTTCGAATTGAATTTCATTCGTCCCTTGAGCCTCGACACCAGAGCTGACACTGAGTATATGAAATTTCGTATAAGTCGAGAGAGTAATGTCAGAAGCGGAACCAGAAGTGAATTCTAGGGGGGGCGAAGCGCCCGAGAGGGGAGGGTGTTACGCTAAAATACCCTTGCCCTGAAAATTCTAGGGGGTGCGACCGCCCCCTGCCCCCCCCCCTGGATCCGCCACTGAGTGCAACTCATTTATAACGCAATAATTCGGTGGTCCAAATAATTCGATAGGAGACAATGCGCGGTCGTGGTATGGCGGCATAAATATATGGTTGAGGTTTGAACGACATGATAAACCATACAAAATTATCACGTTTCAATTCGCGTTCTTGCTGGACGCGGTATAGTAGTAGGGCTCTACCGTGTTTCTCGCTTATATATATAAATATACTGTATATATATTGCTGCGTTCACACGAGGAGTTTAGTTGCGTTCACACGCTAAAATATACGCGGCTTGCTTAGCCGCGATTGCTCCGGCTTGCTTAGCGCGGAATCATATTCCGCGCCAACTAAGCCGCGTATATTCGGCACCACGCTGGCCGCGTATGATTGTCGTGTGAACTAAGATGCGCTACCGTTCGCTGCAGCGACGTTAGGGAGGTGTGGACTGTCGACCGGTTACCCAGTCTATTCTATACCTGCTAGCTAAGCTGACATCTCGTGTATCTTCGTTTGTGTGCGAAACAAAAAAAAAAAAAAAAAAAAAAAAAAAACAAACAAAAAACAAAAAAAAAAAAAAAAAAAAAAAAAAAAAAAAAAAAAAAAAAAAAAAAAAAAAAAAAAAAAAAAAAAAAAAAACGCATGTTTACCAGAACTTAGCACAACTAAAGGTACGCGGTACAGACTAGTGCCGTGTTACCGTTGTGAACGCAGTATATATATATATATATAAATATTATATATATTATATATATTATATAATATATATATAAATAACTGTATACTAATAATATTTACTGTTTATATATTTAGTATAATATCTACCGTGTACTACTCGTTATATATATACATATATGTTAATATATATATATATCTATATATATATATATTAGTATATATGATATTTGTATATATAAGTTTACATTGCTTCAACATGCTTCGGAGTATAGAATAATAATCATCGAGAGGGAGATCGCATTAGTTTGCTTTCATGATAAGTATATTGAATATAGTATACCGTAGTAATATATAATAATACTATAATTATATATATTATATAGCAGCTATAATATACGTACTATAATTAGGTAATTATGAAGTATTAGTAATAGTATATATATAGCGTCCGAAGGGATGCAAACAATTGAGTTTTTAATCACTCTGGTAACTCGTAATGGCAGTTGAGTGGAGTGGAGTGGAGTGGAGGTAGAGTAGTGGTAGTGTAGTGGTAGAGTAGTGGTAGAACAGTGATAGAGTAGTGGTAGAGGTTGAACAGAGATAGAGTAGTGGTAGCAGGTATGAGTAGAGTAGACAGTGGGTAGAGTCTAAGTGAGTATAGAGTAGAGGTTGAACAGAGGTAGAGTAGTGTAGAGTAGAGGTTGAACAGAGGTAGAACAGAAGAGCCATAGAGTAGTGGTAGATAGTAGAGTAGCATCAGTCGGTAGAGTGTGCGTAGAGCAGAGATAGAAGTAGTGGTAGGTAGAGTAGAGTAGATCAGTGGTAGAGAGTAGTGGTAGAGCAGAGTGGTTGAACAGAGGTGTAGAGTAGTGGGTAGCAGTACAGGTTGAACAGAGATAGAGCAGAGATAAGAGTTAGTGGTCTAGAGTAGCAGTAGATCAGCTGGATTAGAGCACGAGGTTGAACAGAGATAGAGTTAGTGTAGAGTAAGAGGTAACAGAGATAGATGTAGAGTAGAGTAGAGGGTTGAAACAGAGATAGCAGCAGAGGATGGTAGTGGTAGAGCTTAGAGTAGAATCCAGTGGTTAGAGCCAGGTTGAACAGAGATAGGTAGCTGGTTAGCAGTAGGAGTAGATCCAGTGGTTAGAGCAGAGATAGAGTAGTGGTAGAGCAGAGATAGAGTAGTGATAGAGGTAGAGTAGTGGTAGAGCAGAGGTAGATA